GGCACCAAAACTAGAACACCAAAGGGGACCAACGCTACAGCTCCTGTGAAGCCAGGCACTTAAGTGTCAATATAATTGAAAACAGAATTTTGGACATGTGTGAGTTCAAGGAGATTAAATATAACAAATCGGTTTTGAGGAAAAGAAGAAGATTCATTTCAATCTTGATTTGCCTTTCAAGTTGTTTTTGTTTGCTTGTTTTTTTCCAGTTATTCCATAGAACTGAAACAATTTCAGTGGAAAACCCTTTACCAATCTCTGTGGGGAGTCAAGTGCTACAATTGCTCCATGTCTGTATCTAGCATTAAACAATCCTCAAGAAGCGCATCAGATCCAATTTCTAAGGACTGTAAAACAAGCTATAATGCTTTGTAAAGCCTTCCTTTTTTTCTGGATCTCTAATGAGCAGAGGTCCCAAATATTACAGCTGATGCAGCCTGGTCTGCCCACCATTAATACCTGTTTCTTAAGATTTTCCAGTTGAAAATAAAAGGTGTAGAGAACAACACCCTTAATGGGAGAGACAGTCCCTCAGCCTTCCCCCCACCCTCTACCCCCCGCATTTTCAGCAGGCTGCACTGTTTTCCAGAGGGCTCTGGAAAAACCCAGTGGTCCACCTGCTTAAAGTTCATTTACAGAATCAAGGCCCTTATAGTAGCATGGAGCTTTGAAGATTTACAGCTCTGCAGAAGTGCAAAGTTTTATGATTAATGGACCAGCAAATGCCAGAGAAGTAGGAAGATTTGAAACCTAGTATCTGTTTCTCAGAGAAAAAGACCCTTATGCACACAGATGGTAGGGTTTAACTTAAATGGGAAAAACAGCTTTTACTGTCAATGTTAAAAAAAAAAAAAAAAAAAGTAATAATTCCCAGAGGTTTGCACAAAATATATTTTCCAAAGTTCAGAAACCATACTGCTTTCTCGGGAAGACAAGGATTTTATTCTTTGGAAATTATTATCCTAACTTGATACAAAAAGATAAAGATAAGCCTTAATCTTTTAATTACTGAAGCTGAGAAATCCATCATCTGTGTTACTCACCAAGGCTCTTTCCACCTTCTAGTAGCTGCGCATAAAGTGTAGTTTGAATTGTTTTGGGATACTAACACAATGTTTTTTTTCTGACCAAAGATACATTTTCTCTGGAAATCTTGCTAAAATACCACTCTTCAGTAGAAATTCCCCAAAAAGAACTTATTCCACTTGACCCATGAGGATAAGTTACAATGTAGAACGTAGCTGCAGCTGTATGAGACAGTTTCATTCAACTTTCCACTTCCACAGATCCTCTCTAAAATAGCTTGACCTTTACAGCTGATATCTACAGCTAGTCAGGTGTATAAGAATGCTACACGTATTTCCTAGCCGATGCTCAAACACGTTTTCCATTTTAAAGATGGAAAAAATATACTTACATAAAGATGTGTTCATACCAGTTCAAATGCCAGTGGGGAGCAGGGGAGATTAAGATTTTCTCTGTGGCTGAGGTGTGTCGCAGCCCAGTGAGTTAACATGTGACAGCTGAGCTGTGCACACCTCTCCCGCCTGGATGTCCAAGCAAATCTTTTTATCTTTAATGTATGAAGGAAGCTACTGAAATTCCTTCAGGACATATTAAGTAATTCACCATCACAAAGTTAAACGCAAATATGCACAAAAAGGATATGCAGTGGCAGGCAACACAAGCACCCAATGTGCAGTGACATTGGGAAAATAGTTCTTTGTTGGGGAGAGGTTTGTTGCAGAGATTTGTTTTTCTAGGAAAATAATAATAAAAAAAATCAGGTTAGCGTGCCCTTGCTTAGAGAGCTTTTTAGCTGGTAAAAAAATCCACCAGTGGCTCATAGGTAATTTCTTCTTATCCATCCAGAAAAGGCTGGAGAAAGAAGAGGAGGGGTCATGACTAAAATCTTGTTATGCTCTGCTAGCTCCCAGGCTCTGGAATACATCCTTGTCCCTTAGGGCAGGTGGTAGTCTACACCAGCCTAAAAAAAAAAAAAAAAAGGTTTAAGGACAGGTAAGAAGGGGTAGAAGAAGTGCCTTTTCCTTACATGGATTTGAAACATGTGGAGCTGCAGTTCAGGAGCAGGACAAAAAGTAACCATATACAGCTGTATTTTAGGTCCTTAATCTTTTTTTTCCAAAGCTATTTTCTCTCTTAAGCATACACATAAACCTTGTAATATCGAGCAGAAGAATGAAAGAATATTTGCATCTGACCTTCTTTTCCAACAGCAGCATCAAAATCAACTCCCATTCTGGTCTTTTAGCAAGGAAGCTGGTTAGTTTAACCATGAGTTTCTTTAAAGTATTTACAGAGGGAGAAATTTTTCAAACCTCTACGACTGTATCCCTGCTCTTTCTTCTCCTTTTGAGATGGCCGAAGGGAGCGCGCGTGGCCGGGCCCTGACCACCGGGTGTCGCTGCTCGATGCCTTTTTCTCTCTCGACTGGCTTTGCACCCTGCTTGGTTCACGTTAAAATAATACGAAATAATACCTTTTAATATTTTTGGTTCAATACATGCAGTAATAATCACTTTCCATAGACACTCTGAAAGTCAGTGAAAACGATGGCTTTATTTTTAACTTTTCATTTACAGATTGTGCAAATCAAAGGTTGGGGAAGCAAGAATTTGAAGTTATAAAATAAGCAGAAACAAAACTGAAACTAACTTATAGCTGCCTTAATTGTCCAAAGAAAGGAAAGAAAAGAAAACTTAAAACATCTTTGTCCTATGGGAGACCTACAGTCCATGTCAAACATCTGGGTGGGGTTATCTAAACGTAAAGGAGATATTTAAAAAAGGGGGCAAGGAGTCAGGTAAAACAGATGGCAAACAGAAAAAGAAACCTAAGAAGATAATATGGGAGGACTGCAGGAAATAGTAGCTATTATTTATATTACAAACACAATAGAGAACTCAGTTCAGGTCTTAATTTAAGAAGTAGTGTGCAGGGACTGAAAACTGGACATGAACCTCCTGTAAAACAGGGAATTACATTGTCATTATTCAGGATTCCTGTTCTACTATCCTTTTCCATGGCAGCGTTTTAAAATAATTTTTCCTTCTCAGGAAAAGCCATGGGAGGAAAACAATGAAGAAATGAAGCAGAAATAATTAAAGTGCATTAAAAATATATCGCATTGTATCTATGTGAGTTTCTCTTTTACATGCCTCTTGCCTCCTCTGGGTCTCTTTCTTGCTTTTTTCAAAAAGTTGCTACCAGAATGAGAAGTGTCCAGACTGAACCTCTACTTTCACCCATATCTGCCCAAATTACCTGCAGCATGCTTAGAAACATCCCCGCTCCTAAGGTTGCTTCCTAACAGACATAGTCATGTCGCACCACCCATGGATTTTAGGCATGCAGAGTATCCAAACTGGCTAATCTTAAGAGTGTAGCGATGTTCTAGGCTGGAGATGGGGAACTGCAGAAACAGATGCGAGTGAGGGGTTGGCTATGTCAGTATGTCAGAAGAGACCATTGCTCCGTAAGTAGTGACGCTGACGCTTCCTCAGCAGCACGAGGTTTGGCTTTGCTGAGAATTTTACAAGTTATGCATATCCAACTCTGGTTGCAAGGCCAACAAAACACTGAGTGGAAAGATGGCCAAAATTTTTATTCTCATGCTGCACTTTAGGACTACAGGGCAATAATTTCTAAAGGAATAGAATATATAAAGTAGAGCAGAGACAACATTTGTTTTTTTCTCAGTCCTCTCACTTTTTGAATGGTTTGAATGCTTTTGAATGGTTGAATGGTGCTATAGAGGACAAAATAACACTTTTAAAGAGATCATCGCTTAATTTTTTTTGACTGCTTCAACAGTCAGAATTTGAAGTCAAAAGTTCAAGAGTTCAACCCTCTTCTTTGCTGGGCCTCAAATACTGCTTTTCTCCCCTCTTAGAAAGGAGTTGCTGCAAAATAAGCTGGCTTTACAGAAAGTATATTCTGCATTAGGGTATGGCGTATGTTTAAAAAGAAAATAAAAACTGAAGTTTTTGCAGTGCACAGAATGACAGATCATTAATAATCCATCATATGCAGGTTTTACATCTGCCATTATAACTCTGAGGTCAGTTGGCCCTAGTAAAGCAGGAAGGAAATTGAAAGCCTCAGTGAACACGAACAAAAAGCTCCTATAAGTATGCAAAGCGACCCCAAGGCCACTATTCCCTGGAAATGCAAAATTCGGCTCTGTTTACATTTCTGTTTCTACAAGTAAATTCCTCGCTTCACGGAAAAGTCGCCAGACACACATTTTCTCTGCAATAGGCTTGGATAAAGGTGTAGCCTCAGTTGTGTTGTTCCTGGGAAGAGACACCTTCCCGACCCAAACAAGGCACACCATGCTGCAAGGTGGCGGCCGGTTCTCTTTGACAGATACAGGAAGGACTTCACCCTCTTTCACATGCATCAGGTCCATACTAACTTGCAACTTCGCCAACGAGGTTATTCAGAAAGGGGAAGATCACTGACATGGTGGAAAGGAGCATTGAATAGCACATTGCTGTTTATAGAGAAAGAGGTATAACTTCTTTAAGAATCTCTCAGGAGAAATATCTTCATCAGAATGGTTATTTATTTTGACCTGTACCATACAGAAAAAAAGGGTTTATGTGAAAAAAAAGAAAAAAATATATAATATTTGTCGCAAGATGCCGAAAACAGGCATAGATTTTTTCTGCTTGCCCAATACGCCGTCCAGACCAAGTCACATGGATAGGGGACAGGCCCCACCCTTTTTCCCTTCTGTAAGTAAAGCAACGTGTTTGAACCTTGTTCTCATAAGGAAGTGCACAGGCACCTTTTATTGAAAGTGCATGCTCTTCATAGTGAAAGAGTATGAACGTATGTTTTGACGAAAGGCTGGAAAGAGTAAGGAAGTTGTCTTTTACTGAAAGGAACTGGTATGTCTGTGAGGCTGGCTCTGCTGAAAAAGAGTCCCTGGAAGAAAAGGAGAGAGGATACAGATCACCGTCACCCTGGGGTTGCTGGTGCAATAGAACTGAAAGGTAAAAAAAAATCTTTTCTGAACTTAGTTTCTTTCATACAGCACTTTTCTGTCTATAATCCAGCAAGAGACTCTCTGAATCTTATTATATGTGGATTAAAATGCTATATTTATCATAGTTAAATTGGTTACAGAGCAATGTATTTGAGGCTTAGCTGTAATGTTAAAAACAAAGGAAGAAAGGATTAGGATTAGGGTTTAGAGTTATGGTTAAGGTAATGCTTAAGGTTTAGAGTTAGGGTTAGGATTTAGGGTTAGAACTAGGGTGTAAGGTTAGGATGAGGTTTAGGGATTATGATTAGGGTTTAGGCTTAAGGTTAGGATTAGGGTTATCGTTGGGGTTTAGGGTTAGGGTTAGGGCTTTGTGTAAGTGTTAGGATTAGGGTTGAGGGTTAGGATTCAGGTTAAATATGCCATTTAGGGTTAGGGTGAGGGTTAGGCCTTAGGGTTAAATATGCCGTTTAGGATTATCTTTAGGGTTAGGGTTAGAGTTTAGGATTAAGGGTTGTAGTTAGGGTTTCAGTTCGGGTTTAGGATTAGGGCTAGTTTTGGAATTCGCCTTAGAGTTTAGAGTTAGAGTTAGGACTAAACATGCCAGTTAAGGCTAGGGTTTAGGCATTAGGGTTAAGTATGTCATTTAGGGTTAGGGTAAGGGTTAGGGTTTGGATTAAGGGTTGGAGTTTAGTGTTAGTGTTAGGGGTTAGGGTTATATATGCCATTTATGGTTAGGGTTAGCATTAGGCTTAAAATGTTTAGAGTTAGGGTTAGCATTAGGTTTAGGATTTAATGTTAGGGTTACAGTTAGGGTTTAGTTTCATGGTTAGCCTTAGAGTTTTGGGTTAGGGTTAGGGTATAGGATTTGTGTTAGGTGAGTGACACCTAGATGAGGTGACATCTAGGTTAGGTGAGTTAGGTTTGAGTTAGGGTGAGTGTTGGGAGTTAGGGTTAAACATGCCATTTAGGGTTCAGGTTAGTGTTTAGGGTTAGGATTAGAGTAAACATTAGGGTTTAGGACTAGCATTAGAGTGAGGGCTAGGGATTAGAATTAAATGTGGCATTTACAGTTAGGGTTCAGGATTAGCATTAGTGTTTAGGATTTAGGGTTAGCATTAGTGTTAG